GTTTTTTGTCGAACACAATGTTAACTCCATAAGCCACAGAATAGGGAGGTTTCCTCTATAAGCTATTTTTTGATTTTTCAGTATTTTCTAATGAGTTGTTTGTCATACTTTACGTAAGCACAGATTCCTCTGATTTTCTTTCTCTATTCAACAGAAACCACGTTATGCCTGTAAAACAGACACTTCTTGTCTTATAGGTGAAAAAGACACTGAACATGAGTTGGATGTGGTCCTTGGGACCATCTGTTTTGCAAATTGTGCCATTGAGCTAACCCTGTTAAGGCAACCTCAAGTTCTGCTAGGATCTTTTCATATAGATAAATGAAAAAATACAGGTACATATATGGATGAATACACCTCAAAGGCAGGATGTGAAGCACTGATAGGCATGATAGGTATGATTAAAAAAGGAAGCTAAGCAGCAGAGTTCCTTGTGGGACCACAACAAACCTGGTGAGCAGAGTCTTGGTGCTTGACTGTGTGCAGCTGTTGTGTAGATCTCATGGCCAACTCAAATTACAAGGCAATACACAATTGTAATTTAAATGAAACTTAGTTACTCTTCTAGTAACTTTGGATGCATTTGTGGAGAGGGTGTGGAGCAACACTTTCATTTGGCTTTCTTGAAAATAACACATTCTCCATTTGTAAGGAGGCTCATTATGGTATTTTTGTTCAGTCATGTAAGTAAACTTCTGGAGGATCATAAATGCCTAATATAACAGTAGCCTTCAGGCATTCTTAACTAAAATTGTATTTTATCTTCCACCAGCTGTGCATTTCCAGGAGTGTAAATGATCCTTAGGATAAACTGTCTGTAAGACTTACTGCTCTAAACACAGAGAGCCGTAGTAACAAATAGCACTGTATTTTTCACATCATCTTTCTGCAGTTGATTCGTTCTCATGGATGTATGGACAGTTGCAGAGTTTGTAGAGAAAATGGTCTGCTCCTAGTTCCTATTAATTCCTAAATTATTTTTATAACTTTTTTTTTCCATGCATGAAACATTCATATAAATTGCATTAAGCCTTAAGTACCAAGCTTATGCCTTATATTTTCCTTCTCCCAGGAAAAGTGTGATAGGAGCAGTTTTGTCCAAATTAAGTACTGATTATTTCAGCCATCTAAATCCAGTTTGTGATTTTCAGTGGATAAGGTGCTGTCATTGTCCAGTTCTTACCCTGTTCTTTTCTCACAGCCACGCTGTGCAATGTTGCATAGTTACCATTCTATAACCCAAATGTTGTTGCAATAGAGTGGAGAGAGTTTTGTTGCTCTCTGGGCAATATATAGAGGATGTATATTTTATGAGATGCTAAGCAAGTGCTGCATGGCTATAAATTTCTGTGGGTTTTTCTCATGCTGTACATAGCTGCTAATAAAGTGATTTATGTTTTAAGCATATTTTCACTTTCCTTGTTCATTCTGCTTTTTTCAAGTTTGGAAACGGAAGTAATTTTAGTAATTAGTTATTTCAGGAAGAGAGGTGGAGATAGTCTGCTGGGCACTGTGTACAGAAAGTGCTACAGCCAGGGGGTGGTTGGCTTTCTCTCTCCATGCACAAAAATCTGAGCTCTGGTAACTGAGGTCAGGGAGAGGGATCCCTCTGGATCATGCCTGCTGGAGTAAAGACCAACTCACTTATTAATGCCTTCATTCAGCATCACAGAAAGGGGTGAGAGGGAAGAGGATCCTGAGCCTGCAGCCATGTGGAAAGCCAGTCAGGTGAAGCCTCTCTGCAGCCTTGCATCTGACTGAGCCCTCTTTTCTTTCCTGCCTTTGTGGTTGAAGGAGAGCAATGAAGGGCTGCAGAGGGAATAATCAGCAGTACCCTCCTCAGCCAGGCAGCCATCTCCTCCTACTGAACTTGAAGCAATGAAAAAGGGATGGATTCTTCTGCAGGTTACCTCTGTGTGTACAGATAATGAGAGCAGAGAGTAATGATCATAAATCTACATGGCTTTGCCTGTTTGAAAGTCTGAGCCATGGGAAAAATGATAATGCATAGTTTATTTTCAGTCTGTATTTCACATAAGTATTTGTTCCAAAGTGTTCCTTCTGGAGGTGGATTTTTTTTACCTTATGCTTCATTTTATGCAGCAGTGGTTTTAATTCAAATTAACCTATTCCCTTTTGTTGACTTCAGTTTTCAATATGAGAATAGCTGTATTTCCCAAACCAGCAATAAACTTGTTTGATATTTGCATTTGTTTAAATGTAGTAACTTTTCATTAGTTAATACAGTACAGTTATACTGGTGTAGAACTATGTCTATGAAAGAAAAAAAAAAAAGTCCAAAATACAAAATAGATATCTAGGACTTGTATTTAATATTTCTTTTAGAAAACAAAAATAAATAAAACAAAAAAACCCACCCCAACCACAAACTCCCTCCCACCCCCCCAAAAAGGAAAACTCTTCTAAATTAGCTTGGGTTTTAAAGAAACCCAACAAAAAATAAAAGTAAAAATAAAAATTTAAAAAAACACCTTGGAATTTGGGAGTTTGCTTTCAGATGTTGAACTGCCATACACAAAGTAACCAGCAAGTTGTCTTTGGCAATTTGTTCATTCCCCTCCCAGCGATACTAATTTCATTAAGGCAGTTCCTTGTAAAACATTAACTCAGAAACTGGAAGGAATCTGAGACAGAAAATAATTAAGTAACCCTAATGATGTAGTAGTCCAACTACCGTGGCCAATGGATAAAGAATAGTAGCAAGGTGTTTTAGTACTTAGCTATGATGCCAGGGTAGTGTCAGCCAATAAATGATGTCATGCAGTCAGAGGCAGGGTTTGGTCAACACAAACTGACAGTTTTGTCTTTTAATCCTACTGTGTACGATAACAAAACATCAGGAAGAACTATATTTAAAAACAGAGGAAATGTACTGAGCCACTAGAAGAGCTTGTTGCATTGTTTTCCCTCTGAGTGAGATCTCAAGTGAGATGATGGCTGAGCCAGTACTGAGCCTTTCCCCCTCCCCAGCACGGGATTAACCTCTGAAATGGCAGCAGCATTTCCTCTCTGGAGCAAATGGGACTGTGCTGGGGAGGTTTTACATTTTGCTTGTATTCCCATGGTGGAGTCACTACGTGAGTGTTGGGAGCTAGGCTGAAGCATAAGGGAGATGCTGACCCTTCACTGAGAATGCAGCACTTGGGGTTGACAGAATGAAACACAGTCTGACCCAGAGCATGGGGGGCCTGCAAGTCTGGCACTCTGGAGCAGCTAGGATGGTGGTCATAAGTTTTTCCTCTTTGGAGGCCAGTTATGCTGTTAGGGCTTGCCTTTGGCCAGAGCAAACACTGTAGCTGAGCTGTGCTTGTTGGGGAATTAGGGAGGATAGAGGGAGGAGTTGCCTGGCTTTGGCTCTCTGCTGGAAAGCAGGAGGTGATGGCTGGCCACAGTGTACTCTGGCTGCTCCCCCAGCACAGCCTGGGGCCTGGAGGTGGTCTGGTCATGTGGTAAGCACATTTATTTCATCAGCCAACCGGCCCTGGCCACAAAAACATGTACTGACATCAGTTCTGTGTGTTGAACAAGGTTGGTTGCAGTAAGACAAGTGCCAGAGCCAGCTTCAAGGTGGAATCATTCAAGGGGTTCCCAGGGTGAAACTTCCAGCAAGCTGTTTCAGCTCACTCACGAAGACATACCCTAATCTGACCCTTTGTGTAGGTTATTGTGTTTGGAATGTTTCTGGTACTTAGGTCTGTGTAAATTTTTTCCTACACAGCCACGTTTTAAGGTTACCTCCTGTGGTCAGGTTAACCATCAGTTCTCATGAACTCTGCTGACTTGCCCTGGTGAAAAGTTTGTTCCTCAAAATCTAGTAAATAAGTTTTAATACTTAAAGACTCTCAGCCAACAGTCAAGCAAAGTTGAATTCCAGGTTTGTTTTGAGAGATTGTAAGGTCGTTCATCAATTTAGGCATTAATATAGGGCCTATTATAGCAGGGCATTCTCCACTTTGTCCACTTATGATGTTAAGATATCAAAAGGGTTTAAGGAGTCATTAAGCCCAAATGCTGTTTTTAGAGTTCCTTGAATTAGTGGAAAGATGGCGAGATATTCAGGGTGTGAATCCAAAATTAACCAAGTTGATCCAAACTTGGTCCTGTTTTAAGGCACAGCCTTTATACTCCAGTGGGGGCACTAGGAGTAGGGATGCCCTTCCTGGCTTAAGGGACTGAAACAGGAGAAAATGAGACAGATCAAAAACCAGCATTATTCTGCCAAACCTGCTCTCCAGACATCTCCTTTGCAAGGGAGAAGTGAAGAATCCTGAGGCAGGGAGTTGGGAACTGGGGGAACCTCTGATTTAAAGGGACTTAAACTGTTGTGGGGCACTTCGAGATTTCAATGTCAGTCATGTGCCTTTAATTGCTGCTAAAAATGGCAGTTTCAAATAATAGTGTAAATAGCCTGAGCAGAGTTGTAATTTAATTCCATGAAACTATTGACATGTTTAAAAGCATGCAGATGCTAGTGTCTTATGCTAGATCAGGATCTTAATTATGCATAGTTTGAAATAATTGGGTTGCTTTAGCTTAGTATCTCAACCTGTTAATTCTAACTACTAAATTAGGATTCAGCTGTAATTCCTGTATGTTTAGTAGAACTATTTCAATTTGCTCCTAACATTAGGTAAGTGTTGTGATTAATTCTGCTTCTGTATTCTGGTTTTCTGTGGGAGAGGTCTGAGTTTAACACGTTCCTATCACCAGGTAAAGTCAGATAATTACTTCTTTGGCCTTTGCTGTGATTTTTTCTCTTTCTTGTCTTTTAGAAGCTCATACTTAAAAATTCATCAAAAAAGTACCAAGTTTGACATTTTTAACAGAAACAAAAAATGTGGTACAGATGTGTGTGCATCTGTGGCTGAGCCTGTGTTGAACAATCCAACCTTTCTCTTAATCTAAAGTTTACATGCAAGGGCAGACTGATTATCTGCTTCCAGGTGCAGGAGTATAACTGAATGTCATTGTTTCCACAGATGAGCACCATGCCAGGACTGCCCACAAGGCCATGCTTCTATGACATTGACCTTGACCCCATCACAGAGCAAGTGAAAGGATTGTTTTGAGAGTGACATCCAAATTCAGGTCAGTCAACAGCCTTTATTTTCCTGTTCCAGCTTGGGAGAGGATGTTTGTGCCTAGCATGTGTGTAAGAAAGGTTGTCAGGAGTTTATCTAGGCTCTAGTTTCAGTAGGGATTTCAGACACTTTGGGGGTGTATTTCATAATGTGTGATTTGGGTATCTCATTTCCTGAATGGTGACTGGCACTTTGCTGTTGTGCCTTTTGGATTTCCTGGCACTGTCAGTTTGGCACAGGAGGAGCCAGCTCTGCAACTGTACTGCTCTTGGCTATGGAAAAAGGCAGTCTTGAAGAAACCACGTCATCTTACCTCAAAAGAAATACTCCTTGATACTGCACTCACGTGGCAGTGTGTGTCTGTCATTGCCTAAGTATCAAGGAAGATATTTCTCAGTTTGTTCATGAGCTCTGCTTTGTTTGTTCATGTTTTGTTTTCATAGCTCTTATCATCTCTCTCAAATGGTAATAAGCATTTCAGGAACACAAAGTTCTTCTCTTAGCCTGTTTTTCATGCCGGATTCTCTCCCTTTTCCTCGAAGGTTGCAGTTCCCCCACCACCTCCTCCCTTTCCCTAAGTACTTAATCTTCTTGGTGTCCTGCTTTAATTTTGTGCAGCACATGTTCCTCACTTAAAAATACAAGATGTTATGAAAATATTTCATGCCCCTCCACTTTAACCTTTTAACATAATAAGTGGAGTAACAGAGAATGTAACCCTGACTGAAACAAACCATGTGTGCCTGTCATGGGATTCTCTCCTTTCATCACTTAGCTCTCTCCCCCAATAGATTGGTCTGGAGAGCAAAAGGGTTTTTCTTTTTTAAGACAGAACAGCACTATTACTATGAGCTAATAGGACTGTGATGGGACCCCAGATCAGCCACAGCTTTGAGATGAATGTGCCCAGGTGCTTCAGCCCTGCTTTAGCAGTCCTTTCTTACTGTGGACAGAGAAAGGGATTTCATTTTCTGTTTCTGAGTTTTGATGGATTGTTTGGAGGAGGGGAGAGGCTTGCTCAACCCAACCAGACCAAGTGAACTGTTCACTTGCCCACACATTCACGTGAATGCCACAATATTCATGAGAATAAGAGATTCTGAGAGCAGATTCCACCAGTTTGTGTGTGTGCCAGTCAAGACAAGTAAAAAGCACCTACCTTGAAAGTTAACATGCATGCACAGGTAATTGGCTGTATGCAAACCAGCCCAGACTATTCTGTGGCTGGGTGGCACTGCACGTACCACTCCTTGGCATATATCCCATTTTTGTTACTGATACACATGATATGTCTGGCAGCTTCATGCATACATATTGATTCATCATGTGTCAGCCATGTAATTGCTTCTGAATCATTTGGAGTGACTGTAGAATCCTAATGTAAAATCTATATGCAGATTCACATAGCCTGCTTAATTGGGTGTTTACTGCCTAGTCTTACACAAATCCATCCAAAGCAGGGACTGATGAGTTTGGAAGAACAACAATAATTAGGCAGACAAAATACTCCATTTCAACTGTGAAGGCCTTTCATTGGAAGCTGTGCATGAAATGAATATGTTAAACTTAGCTTTTAGTCAGTGATGGTGTTTTGTCAGATATAAAAAGAAATGCTTATGAAGTCACAAAAACATAATAGGTAGGAAATAACATATATAGCCAACTGTTAATAAATTATATAATTTCATTGCAGAGGTATTGTTGGCATCTGACAGATGAATGACTCATTAAGTTTAAGCCTTTTAAATAAAATCCAGCTTAACTATATATATATTTCACCAATATAGACACATGCTCACGTCTTCCTACCTTTAACAATCTAAATAAATGCCTTGTGAGTATGGTAATACCCAGTAAGTACCATACAAGGTAGTCAAGTGTTCATTAGCTCTAGAATTCATCTGGTTCATGTGCTAGATTTGTACATTGCTAATTTTGGAAGAAGAGAGAAATAACATTCCCGTGTAGTCTTTACTCCCAACTTTCTGTGGAGAAGTTTAGTAGTATCCTTTGTTTTCACATACACACTGAAGTGAACCCACACTGTAGGTGATATTACACTTTTGAGCTCTTTGTGGGCTTGTTCCTGTGATGGCAAATCAAGGGATTTTTTTTTTCATTTAATTTGAATTCTTCGGCATTTTAGTGTATGATGTGCTATTACTAATAATATAGTGCTTTGCCAGGTCATTAGGGCTGATTCAGATCTTTAAGACATTTTAATTGGAAAATATTGAGAAATTTGTGGAAGAGCTGCAGATATTTCATTATAAACATGCCTGTAGAGCTGAGAACAGTTGTTTTAGTGTGCAGTTAATATCCTCCTCTGCAATACTTATCTTCAGACCTGTGAAGGAGATACAGGCAGAAGTTCCTGCTTCTCAGGATGCCATGTAAGGCTCTGGCTGAGCTAAAACACTGGGTGTAATTTGCCACTCTGATTTTTCTCTACCGCTTCACACCAGTCATTTGAACATGCTCTAAAAAGTCATAGAAGCAAAAACCTTATCATAAAAGTCAACTCTGTTTTTCCTCTGTTGACAAATGGCCAATACATGGGTAGACAATATTGCAGTCTCTCTGTAGGAGCAACGTGATCTATCAAAAACTGAAACATTAATATACAGAAATGAACCCAAAGGAATCTGGCTAGTCCTTTGTCACTGGCCACTGTCCTATTTAAATTATACTGCCAACTCATACATTAAGAAAGTTGAAATTGTTCCCTTAGGAGCTGTCTGTAGAGAACACCAGTCAGAGTAAGACTTACCTGGAGACAAGTCCGCCAATAGGAAGGAATAAAAAAAAAAAAAAAAAGTAATATTTGCTCAATGAGGGGAAGTCCCAAACTGGACCTGCACAAGTAAAGTCTTATAAGGACACTTGTGAGCTCTAAGGATCCCTCTAATTTAATCTGTGGCAGTAGGTGCCTGCTCTTACTGTGCAGGCTTTGAGTGTCTGGGTTGATGGCAGCAGGGGGAAATTGTTCTCCTCAGTTGGTTGTGACTTCATAAGGCTGCCACTGCCCACAGTGGCTGATGTATTCTCACACTCTTCTCTTCAACACTGGCACAGCATCAGAATTACTTTAATACACAACCTGGATACTTTGAGTTTTTCTGAACTTGAGAGGAATCAGGGCTCTGCCTGTGAGCATCTTCATGGCCATAAAGATGTCCATAAAGAGAGAGGAGACCAAAACTGGTGTTCTAAAATTGCAAACTATTTGTTAGATATTTTCATCTTAATTTATTCAAGTACAAATAGAAAGTGTTTTAAGACCTTTCCCTTACATCCACTAAACTGAGCCTATGGACAAATAAAATTACTTCCTTTAATCTCATTCCACAGTATTAGCTTTCAGTCAGCAACAATGACTACAGTAATGTGCACTCTGAAGTCTGTATCATGCTGGAGTACGAGTACAAATTTTTGTTTCTCACCTAGTAGGGCTGCACAGATAATAAATAGGAGGTGCATATGGCATAACTATACATTTTTGTTTATTGTGGTTAAGGCAAAAATATCCCATTTCACTGAAGCACTCATTTTAGAATGTGACGCCTTTTTTTTTCTTTAAAGAAAGCAAAGATATCTTGTTTCAATGTATAAATTTCTTATCTTTGTCATTTCAGAAGCCTGAAAATTAAGAACTCCAACTTTCCTGTTTCCTGCAAGTAGGAGACAAAAAATGAATCTGAAATATTCCTGTTATGTGTCTCTGGAGCAATGTCAAGATAGACCAAAGAGCAAAAGTTTACTGTTTCTTCAAACTAGTTTTTATGATGAAATATAGCTGTATGGTTTAAAAAAAAAAAAAAAAAAAAACATGGCTAGCTAAAGTTATACTCTCTGTAATGCAGGAAGCTCTCTACTAGGGCTTATGCTTGTTTGTGGATAAAATGACATTGAAAAAGAGCAGTTTTTCAACTCAGAGTTTTTGTCTTTTCTCAGAGGAGTGTACAGAAGTATTTCCTTTATCTTGGCTATCTACTAAAAACTTGCATAAACATGATTATGCTGTGTGACCAAGCCTATTTCTCTCTGAAAAGTACACTTTTGCTCCTGGCATTCAAGAGCTGAAGCTACACACAGATTAACTGCACATTTTTGAGTTATCATCAAGCGTTGCTCTGGATGCGTTTGGGCAACAGCCAAGCTTCAAGCAAGGAAGATATTAAACAGAGAAAGAACAGAGCATGTATTTTGTAAAAAGTTTTTAATGTATAATTTGTTTCCTTGTTGGGCAAAGATCTTTTGAAACACTTAAGCCGTGGCTGTCTTGTATCCATAGGTCTGTCTTTATCCGAAGCGTGTGTTACAGGCTGTCCAGCTGATTATGTGCTTGTTGTGGTGAAGCTGGTTGCTCAGACAGGGCACTGCTCCTTCTGAAGCGCTGTTTTGCTCCTGTTCATGGCTAATGAAGCCTCCTGCTGTGCTGGCTCCCGACCTGGAGTTCTTCCCTGGCAGTACACAACGGCCCAGAAACAACAGAGGAACGTCCATCAAGCGGGGATGCAGACAGGGCACAGCTTTTTTTTCTGCTTCATTTTGCAGGTTTTAACGGCCACACTTGTACAAGTGGAGAGTATTTCCATTTGAAGGGGCATTCAAACAAGTTGAATTACAGACCCTGTGCTTTCATTTGTCTCAGTAACTTTACTTGCATGGTTTTTCCTAAAACCTGTAGCAAAACAAGCCTTAGGCACAGGATACTGCATTGAACTTTCCAAACTGCTACTCCTCAGGAAACTCTCGCTGACTGACTGTTGGTTCCTTCAATAACAAAAAATGCAACAGAACAATAGGGTGAATCGAGACAATAGGCCATTGTTTTTTTAGGTAAAAAGCGGTGAAATAATGATGAGAGAGTTTATTTTCCTGATGACGTTTTCCATCCTGTCGCTTTGCTCTGCTTACGCACATCTGCATGTTATGGGCTTTTGCAGTGTAGCCTTGGTTCCCTTCTACAGAGCCACATTTGGAGACTTAATTATCTCGGGAACTCTGTAGTAATTGAGGGGTTTGTTTTGGTTCTTAAAATCGTGCTTTGTTATTTATAAACTCAAAACTATAATTATGGACAGTAGAGCAAACTGGGGACAATTAATTGTCTGTGCCTTCCCTGGAGTAGCACGGAAATGTCTGCTGACTGCATTTCAGTGCTATTCATAGCATGGTCCTCAAGCACCATGGGGATTGCTGTAAAGATAAGTGTAAAAACTAGAGCAATTTAATATTTTATCCTTACAAGACGATAGAGCTCATAACAGCCTAGATTATGGATGCTTTAATTACACTGGGGCATGACAAACATGGTAAGTAGAAAGTAGATTCAAGCTCTCAGAGCTGCTGGGAAGAGACATTTCTTATATTTTCTATTAAATTGTGCCACAAAATACAACTCAGTGCTACTCATATACACAACAGTGTTGTAAATCGGTCTTGCACACACTCATCTATCTAGCCAAGAAATATTCAAAGAGTTTTGGAAGAAAATAAGTGTGGTTTCAAGAAACAGTTTTCCTAGTAGCTTCCTTACAAGAAAAATAAACAAGGTTTTCTCTCCATTTTGTCCAGAGAAATTCAGAAAATACATAATTGTGGCCTTTCTTGGAGTCACTGTGGTTCCCCTGCAGGTGCACTGGAATTGTCCCCATGCAGTGTGGGATACTAAATGTGGCACTGTCTGATTGCCTGTGAAGCTTCCGTATGGATGTGGATGTTTGAGCAACAAGTTTTATAAGCCATCTCAAGCTGCTGTTTGATACTTTCTATGGTGTTTCATCTCATCCCTTCAAGCTGCACATGCTGGGACCATTTATCTGACCCAGCAGTTTCTCCCTAAAACACCATTCCAGCTCATTCAGTTGAGAGTTTGCAAACATCCTGTAATTTTTCTACTGTCATGTGCACAGGATTTGTTATATTGTTTAGATAGCTTCAGTAATTCAAAGAAAGCTGAAATGGCCACTTTTGTCATAGCTTTTCCCCCCACCCCATCTAGTTAACTAGCTCCAAAATCTCTCATGTTATTGCATTTTTGGTCCTTTGATCCAGAGGGACTGAGCTATTGGCCACCAGCTGAGCCACTTCCTCCAGGAGCGTTTAACATGAAAACATTTTAAGATCACTCCTATTGGTATGTGTGTCACTTGTTACATGGATGTGACTGTGGGACTCCTTTGGTTTTTGCATCTACTCTGAGCAACATTGTCACATGGCAGAATCGGAGCTTCATAAGGCAGCTTGCCAAGCTTATCCCTGCATTGCTGAAGTGTGTTTAGCACCATGCAGTTGTTTATTGTCAGAAGATCTGCTTTCTGTAGTGACTGAATACTTTGCTATTGCTACTGCTGAACTAGTTCTGCAATGACATTGAAATACTTCAGAATACATTCAAGAGGTTTCTTCATTTGTAGTGTGAAACTCAAGCTTCTAGAATTTCAGTTACTATGAACATGAAAATAAAGTCTGTGTGCTAACGTTTACTTTGCACAAGTGGTGCCTGTCTGAATTCATTAATAAATACATCATCCATTATTTAATATTGTTCTCTCTCTATGATCTTGTCTACTTAAATAGTGACTTTCTTTTTTTTTTTTTTTTTAATTCCTCCTAAGCCATTTAGTCTTGTCATGCCCATGTCTCCAGCTAAACACAGCTATGCCAAGGAGAGGAGCTCAGCCAGATGTGGGCAAAGCATGGGACTCTTACTAGAGGGTTGTCCATGGGTCCTTCTCCATCAGTACAGTCCTTTTGAAGTTGGTTTGTGCTTGGGGAAGGACACACTAGGCTAACATCCTGTCCTGGTCCCAGAATAATCTTGCTGCTGCCTTTGGTCCTTGACGTGAAGGGCTGGGTCAGATGCAAGGGTCGGTTGGACACTTTTCACTTCTCAGTTGTCAGCTGGATTTGTGCAAAGCAGTGTCAGGTACAGGAATATTACCTGTGGGCTTCTCAAGGTAGGATTCAAACACAAGGAATGCAAAAGCTTCAGGAATTATGGATGCTAAATCATTAGGCCATAACAGAGCAGAAAAGATCGTGGGAGCACAAATTAATAAAATGGGGAAGGTGGGGGAAGAAGTCGAACATTGTAGGCACATAGTGGACAGTGCTCCTGTTTTCTAAATAGCTACATGGAGTCCTAGCCATGTGGTTTGCATTAGTACTGGGTTTTTAACATGCTTCTCATAGCTAGATTTCCAAGCAGCTTCTCTGCAGTGTTTCAGCCAGGACCTTACCCATATGGAACAGGTCTCCAGCAATGGGTTTGTTCTTGGTGGCCCACAGGTCTGCCCTGCTGACAGCCACCCAATCAGCCGGGGGTGAGTGTGGGAGGCAAGTGCAAACTCTCCCCTCCATGGAATTACTAGGGTGTTGAGGGAGGGTGTTCCCCCTTTAAACATGCAGGTTTTCATAGAATTTTCTTTGGAGAAAATATTTTAGAGAAAAATGTTAAAGCCAAGATATGATACCCTTCTTGAGAGGGTTGGAATGGAAACACTGAAAGCTCCTTCAGGTATTTGTCTCAAGAACAGGACTGCTGTGCTATACATGTCACCATTCACCATGGAGTTAAGGCCAGAGTGTTTATGTAAAGTAAGCTAAATTCAAATATTTTCACAAGTGTGGTCATAATAATAGTTCCCTACTCCATGTGGTTGAGTGTAATGTATTACATACACACAAGCATGAGCAAGAATCAATATGTGCATGCAGCTTTTATGCAAAATCCTCAATATTTGCTCCCACAGTAAAATTTTTAACTTAAACCTTTTGAGTAATGATTGGGAGGAGCTAACTGCTACATACCAACATAGGCTCAGCTGGGCAAGACCTTGACAAACCTTTTTAAATCAACCCTGCACTGGACCTGATCTCCAGGTCCCTTCCAAGGTAAATTGTTCTATGCTCTATGAGCTGAGATGTTAGCCAAAAAAGTTAATACTGAGGAAGCCCAGGGCTGGAATACACCCCACACACACACCACAGGCACCTTAAGAACTTTACTTTGCGGAGTACTAATAAAAAAGAGGATGTATCAAATATAAGTCATGCCCACTTCTATGCAATGCACTAAATCAAGGTTTAAGTTATGACATTTTAAAAGCTAAATTGTTTCCCATTGGGCAATTTCCATCATGCTCTTTCAACTCAATTACCATCAACATCTGGTCAAAGTTACATTCTTAATGCCAAAGAAGAGTTTCAGCTTTTCAGAATACAGCCTGTTAGTTGCCTGTATAAGGCAGGCCCTGCATGTTCTTATCACATACACAGCTTATATTTATTCTCCAGAAAAATACAATTATGGCTGTATTTATACAAAACGTGTATTATGTACATGACATGTAGCTGCACCACTATATGAACCCCAGGATGTTTCCTTCCATTTTCTTTTTTGAGGAAAGCCTGAAGGAGAGAAGAATGTCTGACTTGGAATAGCAGACTAGCCCCTACACAGCTTTCAGTCAGACAGAATCTCTGCAAGGACACAAAATTCCTTTATTCACTGGTTCTGTGCTTGGGTGCAACACCTATTCCCACTCAGCTCCAGCTCATCTCGATCACCTTGCTGTCTCCATTGCAGTCAGAAAAAGTTCTATTTGCCAACCTATTGTTTTTTTTCCAAGTGTTTGAGGTAAGTGAATGCTTCCTGAGGGAGGTTTTTGGGGACAGCAACAAGACCAACATCTTAACTCCCATCTGCTCTTCATGACGTTAGCTTGAGGTGGCAGTTTAATGAACAAGGCCTGGCACATCAGTGCCATACAAAGGTTGATTTTTTTTTCCCCCATGTTTAGAATGAAAACCACTGTCATTCAGCGATTCAGAATGATAATCACTGTCATTTTTCAGACATTAACATCTGGCAAAAGCTTGGCCATCCAGGATGAAACCTGTATCTAAGTCTGCTTCTTGAACTACTGAAAGTCAGGCAGACCTTAAACCTCAGTCCTGTCAGTAATAACCAAGTATCCAAGTTATTTAATTCTCAATAGCATGGGGGAAATGAAAAATAATAAAAGAAGAAAAATGATGAAGATGGTAAATGAAGGAACAAAGCTTAGGAATCAAGTTCACTCTTTTGGGACAGATTTGTATGAAAGCAGTTGTAAATCAAGGTGAGTCTAAGAAGTAATTTCACTAAATCTCACATAAAAAATTCCTTTAAGTGGAGCAGTATATAACTTAGCACCAACAGTTCTGAAGAAGGCTATATATAAAGCAAAAGTGCATTTAACTGCAAATTGCTGCTGAAAAGGGGACTTTTAATACTAATTTGATATTAAATAAATACACTAAGTCAGCACAATCTATTGAAGTGTAACTAGGAAATAGTAGATAAAGAGATGACCAGTGAGTGAAAAATGTTGTCAGTTAAAAAAAAAAAAAAACAGAAAGTCTAAAATAGTTTCTGTGATAATAATACACTTGGAAAGTTAATGCTGCTGGAGATGACCAAGAGCCAATTCACAGCAAGGTGTTGTAGGCTGTTTCCCATCAATTCTTCCTCACAGTATGGATTACCAGGTCCCCAGGGACAGGAAGAAGATCTTGCACTGAGCTTGTGCCTGGCATTACCCACAGCAACTGCAGGGGACCAGAGGGGCAGCAGCAATTGCCATGGAGCCCAGAGAGGGGGAGGCTTCAGGCTCAGATTCCTGTATTTACTGACTCCTCTTCATACGTGCCTCCTCTGTGGCAGGTCACTGCAACAGATAACCTCACCTTGGCTAAATTTGGACATCTCTTTCCCACAACTGCAGTAACTCAGCAACAAACAAACCACACACCAGCCTGGAGGCAGAAATGGAAGAGTTATACCTAGTATGATTTAAACATGTCTGGGAGCTGTGCAGACAACCTGCAATTATCAAACCAAGAGTTTCACGAGCTGTTTAAAAGACAAATGGTTTCTTTTCCTAACCCTTCAGAAAGGACCAACAGCATCCTCATCCAACACTGTGCTTAGGGAAGGAGTACTTGAGTGCAAAAACCATTCCTTAAAACACTCCTTTTCTGCTGGCATTCCAGTTCTGTCCCTTTAAGCTCTGACAAAAGAAAAAAGTTCCAAAACCTCACTCTCTCCCAGTGAGAGGACCCCATCAAATATATTTGTGTATCTGCAAATGGACTCTCGCCCCAAACCTCTCTAATGCTCAGGTTTTTCCACTGTTTGAAGACAAGTGGTAGGAACAAACTGACAGAAGAATGCACTGTTTAATCCTGTATAAAGGATGATAAAGTGAACCTCCAAAGCCAAATCCAAACATTTAGAGAGACAAGCCTGGATGCACAGGAGCAATTAGGCTTGCATACTTGGGAAAACATGTTTGGGGAGGACATTTTTCATAACTCCTGAAGTGAAGTGGCTGTGAAACCCAGCTGTGGCAGGGAGACATGCTGGGAGAGCCATTCCTTACTGAGTGCAACTAAAATGGAAACAGTCCAAGTAACCATTTACTCATCTACATAAACTTCAACCTTAAATTTAGCAGCATTTCACCTTTTGACCTAGAATTTTACATTGCCTCAACCAGCTTGACTTGAGGCTGAACAGCTACAGAAATGTTTACAGTCATCTGCTACAGCAGGACAGAAGGAAACTTCGCCTGGATCTTGAAACCAGTCTGGGGATGCTGCAGACACAATCAGCACTGGATCACTGGACTCACTGCAGACATTTGCCATCATGCCACCAAGCCCAAGGGCTGGCCAGAGCACCCCATACTACAAACAGGGCAAATCTTGCTCCCTGCAGCCCACCACCAAGTGAAGATGTAGGTGTTTACGATGTGGAAAGACGTGCATGACAGATGTAAAAAAATTTTTAAAAAAACCAAACCAAAAAACCTCTTCCAAGATTTATAAACTGAAATGCTGGACTCAAAAATTCAAGCACATCTTGAAATTCTACATGACTTATTAAAATGCCAGTGCCCAGCAGGAAAATAGATTTCTTTTTTAAATACTTTCAGTAAAGGTAAGGAATCCAGTATAGAGTCAGCAGGTTATAACTCTATACTTTTTCTAATAAAAATATTTTAGAATCTAAATATTCACTCAGATCTGGTACAGATGCTGGCCCTATCCACACTGCTTACACAGAACCACTCAGGATGGAAAGGACCTCTGGAGCTCACCAGGTCTGACCATATGCTCAACATTGTTTTTATTTCTAAACAAAATTCCTTTAAGTAAGATGGTGTTTTCATGTACAATTTTAGGGACTAGCTCACATGCTGTAGGGCTGCTTAGCAGCTGTAAATTCAAGGACTTGCTCATTCATGCAATGTGCTGAACAACCAAAGGCTTGCTGCAAAGGTAGGATAGCCAGAACCAGCCAATCCCCCGGACTGTGGAAGCATGGCACAGCTATTCCCCCACAACTCCCAAAGGAGCCACATTAAGACCACTAACCTGCTCATTCTCTGGGATGAGTTGTTACAGTCCAAGTCACATCCTGCCTACTTTCAGAACATAATCACTTACTTCGAAGCACTTGACGGGAAACACAAGAAGAAAAAGCCTGAACACCCAAAAGAAACAACTCTCACTCCACCCCAAAGCCCTCAGGTGTTTTAAGTTTCTCTGTAACAACGAGGGCTGGCAGGGGCAGGTGCTGCCTACCTGTAGGTGCAGAGTTTGGGGTAATTGGGAGTGGGGCTGCAGCCGAGCTTCATCCCCAGTGGGCTGCAGCTGTGAAAATCAGGTGAACAGTGCTGAAAGCAATGAGACAGGAGTGCCCAGGAGCACTGAGCCTCATCCCCAGTGGGCTGCAGCTGTGCAGGACAGGTGAACAGTGTTGAAGGTAATGAGACATGGAGTGCCCAGGTGCACTGACCAACCTCAAAAGGGACACACAGGTGCAGTGCAGTAAGGTGAGGAGGGGTATAAAAGATTGGGCTGAAGGACAAGGGGAGTAGGTACTTGTAGCCTTCTGAGGTGATGTTGGTCTGTATGGGTTGATGCTTGAAGCCTTCTGAAATGCTATGGTGTTGCTCTGTATGGGTTGAAGCCTTCTGAAATTGTATGATGCTACTTGGTGCATTGTGACCATCTCAATTGCAGCATATGCTGCAACACCTGCTCACACCAGATCCTTGCCTCAGAGTTTTGGTCTTGCAGTGTTTGATGAACTCAGGTGTTTGGCTCAATGGCCAGAACTACCTTTACCCAGCAGAGGTATCAGAGCTGCAGCCCCTCCACAGCCCCCTCCTATGAAAGCAGATGGATGGGTTTAAACCACCAGCTCTGGGTGCTTCAGCCCATGCAGGCGGCCTTGCCCCAGGGTGGGTGGGACAGTGCTGCAGGAACCACTCCATTGCTAAGGAACATTGGTGGGAATAGCTGGTATGGCTGAATGGCCATGCAGCCAGCTCTGCACACTGTGCCAGCTGTGCCATGAGTCACAGCACCACATGTACCCCTGAGACTAATTGGCCCTCAGACCAGCCTGGGCAGGCTGTCCTCTGTGTCCCTGGGGAAATGCCTGGTGCTCCTGAGGATGTGGATGGTACTTGGGACTCTGGATGGTATTCAGGAATGGGTGTCAGGTCTTAGAAATCAGCATCCAAAGACAAAATACCATGACCTGGCACAGAGGTGTTTGTGAACCCACAGCAGGACTCACACACCACCTGCCTGGTTTGCGAGCACAGCAAGTGCTGCCATCTCTGTCCCACCTGCAGCCTGCTGGATAAGCCAGCAGTGCTGTTGCCAGCCCATGGTAACATTTCTTCAGGGCTCTCAAGCTAAGGAAAAGGAGCAAGGAATGGGGAAGAAAACAGCAATTTACTCCCAGTAGTGTGCTTTTCCTCTGAAATTGTTATCCTGCTGCAAACTCCCTTGGCATTCAGAAAGTATCTGTGTTTAATCCCTGGTCTTGTTCAAAATGCAAAGTACCTTGCCTTGAGACTGATAATTTAATCTCCTTTGGATAATTGCTACCAACTAGACTAACAGCTGACAAAGGTCAAGTCATTGGTTATTCAAAGCAGGATTTTCCCCATTTTACAAAAAAACTTCTACTTGATCTTTGACTTGTCAGCTGCAGCGTGTGATTGCTTTCAGCACTGGTAATCGCTGCCAGGGCTGTGTGCACACACATTTCACACACATAAATGCAAACTGGAAATGGCCTGCTCACTCATACCTCTGTGTGATACCATAGATCACTTCCAATTAATGTTCAATAAAATTTATATCCTCCACGGCACTTTGTATACATTTGCATATATTAAATTATCCCAAAGCTTGCTAAGTAGTGAAGGGGCTTCTTAGCCTTATTTTTATTCTTTCTCAAGGAAATTGGTTTTATGGGACCATGATATTTTTGCATGTTTGTCCATCTCCTAATAATGAATCAGTCCCTAAGCAGTAAATTGACAGACAAATAAATGACTGTAGATTTCATGAAAGCAGTGAGAGATGAAGTGGAATGCACACATGAGAGAGATAAGATCTTTTCCATGGTGATATAGAAATTTATGAGGAACAAGCTTTCCAATTTCACTTCTTGCCAGGCTATGCTTTCATTACATGTAATATTTTAACTCAAATACAACAATTCTGTTGCTGTATTTTAGAATCAGGAGTCATATTGCTTTAAGTTTGTAAATCTGTTGCAAAGCAGTATAATGTTCATAAAATCCTAAATTGCTACAATCTCACATGTTAGGGCCCTATTCAGCCCTGAAAATGGGTCTATGAACAGGGGATAAACCTAGTGCTCTTTACTGCATCTTATGAATAGAAAATACTCAAAACAGGACAAACTGACTTCACTTTTTAAACTGTACAGACTGAGAGTCAGCAAAAATTACTTTAGAGGAGAAAATAAACTCAGAACCTCAATGCTGCTCTTATACTCAAATCACATCAACTTCATTTGATGGAGGAAATTCTCCATCAAAGTTTCAACAACGCATTGCAAAAGTCTCAGTTTCCAACTATTAATTGCCCATACTGGAAGGACAAATTCAGGACTTGTCTTGCAAGTCCTTGGACAGACACTAAGAAATACAGTTTCCTGGAACAATAAGAAAAACTAATCCTGGCATCATTTTTCAAATTACTATTTTCCTCACCACTGTTGGGAGCCTGCCAAAGCATAGCTACTGAGATTTGACTCTCACCTTCCCAGACCCATGGTCTGGTGCTGTCCCCAGGGCTGGTCCCTCTCACATGCCCCAGCAAGGGCACCCCCTATGTCCCCATGGTTTCTTCTTCCCCCAGGAGCACGGGCTGCTGGGTCATGCTTTACTCCATAGGACTGATCATCAGACCCAGACTTTCACTCCTGGTCACTTCTCTTTGTGGCCAGGATGAGACTTCTACAGTATTTCTGTGGTGCAAGTCAGCTGCACAGGGAAAGGTGTAAAATCAAAGGGATAATTCACACACTGTGTTACAGAAGTAAAATACCAAATAAATCACCCCTTGTTCTATCTGAGGAAATGAGATTAATAATTACATTACTTTTCTTGGCACGTAAGAGAAGGTCCATCCTTGTTTATCTGCTCTGTGGTGCCTGGGAAAGCAGAGCTGGTGTTATTGCTTACTGGCCTCTGCAATGCCCCAGCCATGCCCTGTGCATTCCCCATGCCCCTGGAGGAACTGGGCAGCTCCAGGGACACATACCCCTGCAGGACCCTCTTTCTGGGGAGGGAGCACCTTGGTCTGATGCAACAGGAAAGTGCTTCTGTTGTGTAAGAGAATAATTTAGAAACATCATTTCAGCCTGAACGTTTTAATCATAGGAATGTGTGTAATTAGCAATTTTTTACCTGTGATCAATACCTGGACACTATTAGGGCACAATGGAACAGCTTCCCAGAGCTCTGGGTAAATGCTGCCCAGCAGTTCCAGAGCTGCAGTGGTGAGAAATGTCTTGGCTGCCTCTGGTGAAAGGCTCAGGAGCTGTTTTTCAGAGAGGCCAGATTGCCTCTGCACCTGTGGGTGAGCAAAGGCTGGCAGCTCTTCAGGGCACGCTTGTGCCTTTCACTTAAACCATCCAAGGTCTTCATTACTGCTACTGCTGCTGCTACAGAAAAATGCTGCTGTACATGAGCTGCACAAAAAGCAAGGTGGGAAAAGGCAGATCCATCACACAACTTCAGGCTAGGAAAATTCTGTCTGCATGGTTGGTTCAGGTGTGGTGTGCTGTGTAGCTCTACACTGACCCTACAGCATTGCTATCAGTTTACTGAGGACACAGAGAAGGGAAAATATTTTCGTCTTAATAACAGTCCTGATGTTTATTGCAAAACCATTTAGAGACTGTAAAAGCCAGCTTGACAAACACTTACTGCTCACAGGATTGAGGGACTGAGGAGACAGAAGAGCAAAAAATTAGGCCCAGGGGAATTGCTGGAGGAGACAAAACGCTGCAGCTGTTTCTATGTGGTGGGAACATGAGAGGCACAGCAGGGCAGGTTGGTGTCTCTGTGTGTACCAAGCAATGCCAGGCGCAGGAATGGCTCATTTCAGGTGCCTGAGAGTAAGAGAAATTTGCAACTCACCTTCTTGTAGTTCTCTGTCTTTGCTGGAGCACAGTTTGAGAGGTGAGAAAAAAATTCAAATAATGACACAAAATTTGCAAAATTCTTAAGCAGAGGTGAAGCAAGAGAACAGTGGGAAAAGAGATAGCAGGCTAAATGGGCTGTGCACCATCATCAGTGGAAATAGATGTATTCAGGAGTTTACACATCTGATTTTTCAGTTCAAAAGAAATAATACAGCAGTACTGGTTCTGACTGGTTCAATGCTGTTTAAAATAGTTTAAACTATATAAAATACTCTGTGAACTTTGAAAATTTGAAATTAGACTTTTAAAAAATATTTTTAATTTTAAAAGTACATTTCAAAACCATACACTGTAAGATAAAACAGTTACATCTCAAATACTGAAAGGCAAAAGTAAATTGGAGTTTTGGCTGATATTTTCATACTCAAATAAAAATACAAAAGAGTAAATTATGTGTATCTTTATCCTATTTGCCCAGTCTTGTAAGAAAGCTGGCTTGAGCACACCCTAGATGTTACCTAAAATCTTTTACCACAGCCCTGTAATCACCAATAGCCTGATCCAAAGTCTATTGATCCGTTTGGAGCCCTTCCCTTGACATCCACCCAGCCCTGCTGGGATCAGGGGAAGAAAGGAAGGTGGGACTACAGACAAGGTGCTTAAAGATAAAAATCAATGGCAAGGTTACCAGGAATGAGGCCTTTTGTTTGAACATAGACGTTGTTGGCAGAGATAGACAGGTCACAACTCATGGTCTTTCATCCTTCTGCTTAGATTTTGACCCAAATCACTTTTCATTTCTTGATCAGCCCTTTGATAAAATGTATAGGCTTGATAAAAGACTTATGTCGATTTTATCCTATTGATCCAAGACTCTAAGATAAGATAAAAAAAAATATTGTTCTTGAAAGATGGGAATGATTCCTTTCCAAGAGATTCCTCAGTCACTGCTGGTAGATAAGAGGTCTTCATTATCAAAGGCACGTAAGAAGCACTGCTGCTTATACAGGA